TGCCCAAAATAGCCAGAGGATATTTGAAAGCTCCAAACCAGCTGCTTCATCTCTGAGCATTTGTCAGATACAGACTTGCAGGCAACTATTCATGCCAGCAACATCCTTGTAGCTGTTCTGATATGCGCCAACAGCTGATTTTAGGCTTAGTGGGCTTTCATGTTTTTTGCTTATCTTCAGGACTATCAACCAAAGAGTCTCACCTATGCCAACTTGTCTTAAGCAGGCATGTTAGAATATATGAGAAAAGAATTTAAAGAATCAGTAGGTGATTAGAACATAAATTTCTGTGAGATATACAAAATTATTTCTATTAAATGTCTCTGTAAGGCATACTAAATAATTTCTTTATCTTATTAACATGTAATGCTACAGAGGCAGCATAATTAATGTATATAAGTCTATTATCAAATGCAGGAAAATAAGCAACTTGGCTGTGAATTGTTCACCAGTAGCCTTTAGCAAATTTAACAGATGCTTCTATTATCTGTGCAGGGAAAAATCTGTGCAGTCATGTATGGAGTACATAACTTCACATAGAATTTGAATTTTTGAATGTTTCATGTACTTGGCTACTTAAGAAAGCCAAGGACGGGATTGGGACCTGGATCCTGGAGGTGGTCAACGCCTCTTTAAGAGATGGTCAGGTACCTTCCTCTTTAAAAGAGGTGGTAGTCCGGCCAGTCCTAAAGAAGGCATCCCTGGATCCAGAGGTGGCCTCCAATTATAGACCGGTGGCCAACATCCCATTCCTGGGCAAGGTGCTAGAACAGGTGGTGGCAGGACAACTCCAAGCATTCTTGGATGAAACTGTTTATCTGGACCCATTTCAGTCCAGCTTCAGACCTGGGTACAGCACTGAATCTGCCTTGGTCACCCTGTATGATGACCTGTGCAGGGGGAGTGTGTCCCTCTTAGTTTTCCTGCACCTCTCAGCGGCTTTCGATACCATCGACCATGGTATCCTTCTGAATAGGCTAGCGGGATTGGGAGTTGGAGGCACCGCATGGCGGTGGTTCCGCTCCTATCTCAACGGCTGATTTCAGAAGGTGGTGCTGGGGGACTATGGCTCTGCGCCATTGCAGTTATGCCATGGAGTTCTGCAGGGGTCCATTTTGTCCCCCTTGCTATTCAACATCTACATGAAACCACTGGGAGAAGTCATCAGGAGGTGTGGGCTGCAGAATCATCAGTACACTGATGATACCCAGCTCTACCTCTCGTTTTCCACCAATCCAGGTGAGGCAGTGGCTGTACTGAACCGGTGCCTGGCCAAGGTAATGGGCTGGATGAGGGCCAATAAACTGAAGCTCAATCCAGACAAGACGGAGGTCCTGTTGGTGGGTGGTTCGGGCCTTGGGATGGGGGACTTGGGCCTTGTCCTAAATGGGGTTGCACTCCCTCTGAGGGACAGGGTTTGCAGCTTAGGAGTGCTCCTCAACCCTGAGCTGTCTTTAGAAGCTCAGGTGAGGGCGGTGGCGAGGAGTGCTTTCCTTCAGCTTCAGCTGATCCATCAGCTGCGTCCCTTCCTGGACAACGACTGCCTGGCGACAGTGACACACGTGTTGGTAACTTCCTGATTAGATTTCTGCAATGCGCTCTACGTGGGGCTACCCTTGAAGACGGTCTGGATACTTCAATTGGTACAGAATAGAGCTGCCAGGCTGCTGACAGGGACTGGGCGTTGTTCTCATATAACCCCAGTTCTCCATCAGCTCCACTGGCTCCCGATTGAAGTCCGGGCCCAATTCAAGGTGTTGGTTATGACCTATAAAGCCCTCAACGACTTGGGTCCTGGGTATCTAAAGGAACGCTTGCGTCCATATATGCCCTCCCGCCCCTTGAGATCAGCAATAGATGCCCTTCTCCGGGAACCCTCTGTGAATGATTTTAGGAGGGTGAGTACCCGGAGGGGGGCCTTCTCTGTGGTGGCGCCCCACCTATGGAATGCGCTCCCCAGAGATGTCTGCCTGGCGCCGTCATTATTTGTTTTTCGGCGCCAGGCTAAGACCTTTTTATTTAAAACTTATTTTAAGTGTTAATTTATTGGTTATTTGTAGGATTTTAAATCTTTTAAGCTGAGATGCACTGGGTTTTAATATTTTTATTGTATAATATTGTTCTTGTTGTGAGCTGCCCCAAGGCTTTGTTTTGCGATGGGGGCGGCATAAAAATGTTTTAAATAAATAAATAAATAAATAAATGTATAATATTGTTTTAAAAGATAATTACATGAAATGTAGTACATTGATTTGTATTCATATGGGTTTTGAGCTTTAGTGAAGCATGAGTGTACAAACGCTAAACCATAAGCATACCAAAACAATCTGTGAAGGTCATCAGTTGCTGCTTTGTTTTGTCTAAATAGATTAGGGATTATATAGTACTAAGTTCCAAACCATGATTGTATATTTTTAAAGCCTTGTTTTGAATTTTTGCTGTTGTTTATGGATTTGTTTAACTATAGCACTTCTTAGGAAACGTGTTGCTAAATTTGTCATGATTTTCTGGTCCATTTTTGTTTTCAGGAATTTAACCATCTGCAATTCCTAGTAAAGAAAGCCATGGTGCTGAAAGATGGTGCTGAAGGAAAGAGTGTTGAAGTGCAATGCTTTAAAAAGGAATTTCTCTCTTACTTCTATTACCAAGGATCCAATGGCTCCAGAGAGTCTTGGTTGGGGATCCCTCCCCCACTCCACCCAAGCTGTTTTTCTACAGAGGACCTTTGTCCACATCTTTATTCAAGAGAATGGAGTTACTCCTTGACTTGAATAGATGTGATGGGGAGGGGGAGAAGGATGCAATGATGGAGATTAGAGATGAAGTGACAGTGGTGGTGAGTGGAGGGCCTGGGAAGATGCACAATTTGTTTACTAGGGCATCATGTGACACAGCCAGCTGGTCACATGACCTAAAGAAGCTTCACGTGACCAGGTTGGCTTTTCTGTTGAAGCGTAATATGTGAGTGTAATAGCGGGTGGTTAGGATAAGGCCTCTTAAAAGAATCTGTTTTGCTATAAAAGCTGTTTGTGCCTTGTGGGAGTTCCAGTGCTGGTTGCTGGGCTTAAGCCTTCGTTCAGAAAAGGAAAGAGAAACAGGTGAGTGCCAGCACAGATGCCAAGGAAATTAGCATTTTAACAAGGAAGTCTGGGCAAGCATTCCATGACTTCTCTTTTTAGGACTTCCCAGTAATAGATGAGGCAAGAACTGATTAGAACCATTGGATTTCCCTCACCCCATTTCTTATGCTTCTATCTACTTTACATGTGAATCATCACTTTATTTTGTAAGTGTGACAGTGTTCTACTTGAACAACTCCTTTCCCATCTAAATCCTGTCTTCCTGACAGAGGGTGTGGGCTATTTAGCTCAGCTGCACCTGTTTCCATGGTCACAAACTAGCATATCCAAATGAACTCTAGCCAGAATCAGACATTACTTGGCTTTTTAGAAGCCATGTGTTTAAGCAAAATGAACTCTGGTGACTCCCAAGTATTTTGGCCTAGCCTATGCTATTTCAGTATCTTCACTGAGTCAGTACATTATTGTAAAATCCTGTTCTCTTATAATTGTCTTATATCTCTGAACTGATGTTCATTGTATCCCTGTGTATTAACTGGAAGCATGTTCTTGTTCTTTCTTGGGCTTTTCTGCATTACGAAATCATTAACCTTCCTGCTATTTGCTAACCTCAATAATCTTTTGTTGCTTAGTTTATGAGGTTTGAATAGTCTCCCAAACTTTCCAGCAAAATAAATACTTGTATGTTCTTAACATGGCAGAGATTCTTCAGGTAAAAGAAACATCATTTGTGGCTAAGCCCTGACACATTTATTTTAATTAATGAAGAGGCAGCTCCACTTCCATCTGTGCCACTTTCTTCTAGAAACTGCCAAATTTATATTCTTTGGGTTCAATCCAAAGTCTATTTACATGGAAGGAAGGGCTCCATTCATAGAAGGTGTCTCTGCCCATTTTTCAGGAACTTCTGCTTTCCCTATATCTCCATTTTGGCAGAGTCCCCTCTCCCATTATGTCATGTGTTCTGGAGCTAGAGAGGCTGCTGTAGGGAGCAGGTGGCAGGGACGTCTGCTTTTAACTACCCAATTGCACCCATCAAAATCTGGATCCAATCCATAATTTTTGCTAATATATTTATAAAGAAATTTTAATGAAATAAGAAATAATTGCAGCAGTTCAGATAAAACTAGAATGGAAATTCTAGTAATTCAGCCACAGTTTTCGTCCTCTGCTTATATGCTGGTTTTCGATCACCTGTGCATGTAGCCTGAGTCTCAGCAACACTAAAATGCAGTGGCACATCTGACAACATTAATCTCTTCAGCTTGTTTGGGTGTATTTCCTTCTGTGAATGATTTAGGAGAAGAAGCATACACATACGAGGAGCACAGCAACTACATCATGGCTACAGGAGCAGCCTGGCTTGCATGGGTGTGTGTGGTCATCAACCCATGATTCAACAACAGTGTTGTTACCTGTAAACCCTGCACTATGGTTTAAGAATAACCATGAACAACCAAGAAAGAAAACCCATTGTTTGTTGCTGGACTGTGAACTCTGCATTGTTGTTTGTTAACAATCCATGGTTTCTTTCTATATTTTGTTTAAAATTCTCATTTTACATTGAAATTATAATTGAATTGACAGCTCTATGAACACTGAAATAAAGTAAGTTTAGATTCAGTCTAATGATAAATTTTACATCTGATAGCAATAGTCACAAATAAATAATTGCCTAGCATACTATCTGCGTATACTAAAGTGCTATTTGGATAGTGTGTTCAACGTTTTGCATTAGTGTCAAACTTACCTCCTTTGGTTTTGGGAAACATTAATAACTGGAAACACATGAATATGTGAAAAACAAAGTAAAATTATAAATTATTCAGAATATATAGACACATTTGCCACTTCATGAAAGCAAGTAAACATGAATTCCATAACCATCTATCCAAAATACGGTTGTACAAATTGCCTTACCAACTTCAGTAATGTAAGATTTTCCATCTGATGGCAGAGAAATATACTGGTTAGAGAAGAAGCTGCTGCCGTACCCCAAGATGAAGCCTTCCAACTTGGTGCTTAGACTCGGCCGAATATATCTCATGCAGACTGTATCATCAGTGACGTTGATCTGAACTCTTAGGCTTTGTCTCTTAACTGTTTGGGGAGCAGGACAGAGAAAAAGAAGAGATGTTACCAACTCAAGTAGCATAAAACAACCAGTACGTTCATCCTACACCAAACTAGCATTACTCACATTTGGGGTTATTTGTTACCCTACACAAAAGTGCCTCAGGCAATGTAAATCTGCATTTGAAAGGCCAAGTTCTGGATGTTCTTCTCCTAGGAGGTTTTGATCAGCATAAGAATAGCTTTCAGCTCTCAACAAGTTCAGGTAATTCAAGGTATAATATTTCCTGAGGCTATATAAGACAATACAGCCTGCATTAAAAAGCTTGGACTGTTGACCTTTTCTAAGCATAACAATAGTTTAGTTTATTAACTTTAAACTAGTATAAAAATATTTTCCTTCAATGGATTTTATTCTGTTTTCTGGAAGTTTCAACTCAGATTCTTAATTCTTAATAAGATTAAGAGAATCTGAACCTAACCTTGTTTTATTCCTGTGCCTTTTATTCCTGAGCCTTTTGTATGGGGTATCAAAGGCCCCATAATACTCTTCTCATAGAAATTTGAAGAGTCTTTTGTGTGTGCTTTATATAGAAAAAAAACTATAAAAGGTAGCAGGCTGAAATTTGGGACTTTTTGACTAGGCAGCTTGTGACACTCCTAGAAGGACGAGACTGTAAGTCTGCTTATGTGTAAATTGCTGTACTGAAAATGAGTCAGGGAAACTTGAGAGCCCCCAAGATGCAGAATGGAGGTGAATATAGGGCATGCATCCAGTTGTATTAACACAGGAATGGCCCATAGGTGAGTGGTAGCCAATGGCATTTGAAGAGATGTGTCAAACTTGCTTGCCACTATATGTGTAGTATGGAGAGTACAATCATACGAACCTTGCTCCACCCAGCAGCTACCATGTTTCCCCGAAAATAACACCTATCCCAAGAATAAGACCTAGTACTAGTTTTGGTACTTGCTAAAATATAAGACCTACCCCAAAAATAAGACCTAGCTGTGTTTATTCCCAGGGCCAGTGGGGAACATAAAGAGCCTTTTTAAACTTTATTTTTTAACTTAACTTTAACTTAATGCACTGTGTGGAGGAAACATGCTTATGCAGCTCTGCTCCTTGCAGAGGGAGCAGAGCTGCATAAGCCGCTGCTTCCTCTATAGCGCCGGCTCCTGTCACAGGTGGAGTGATGCCAAATGTGCCAAATGTACATGTATTCATGCTGTTGTACATGAATAAGTGTGGATTGTTGTACACATTAAAAAATAAGATAAAAAAATAAGACCTACTCCAAAAATAAGACCTAGTGTGTTTTTGTGAGCCAAAAAAATATGACAGTGACTTATTTTCAGGGAAACACGGAATTTGTGGAGATGCTTTAAAAGAGGGATCTTTAGAAGATGAACCACATATATTTCTTTAAGAACAATCCTATTCTTTCCTTGCTTTAATTTAAGTCATTTTGGTAAATTCTGGAGAGGTTAAAAGAACACTAGGGTCTTGGAATGAGTTTATCAGCTAGAGTTAGCTCCTTTGGCTGTTCAGTCATACTTTGGTATTGACTGTTATTCCTTTACAGTATACCCCCATGAAGTTGCAGTTCGGTGTTCGCGGCCTCAGTCTTTTGTGGAATTTTCAGTGTGGCAGCTTGCTCTCATGGAGGTCATTTTCTCCGAGTGAGTCCAAACCGATCTCCTTCAACTTGCTCAGAGAAAACGATCTCTGCTCATGCCCACCCCTGCTGCTACCTCGCCACGTGTGCGCGCCCACCCCCCCAGCCCGATCCGCACCCCCCACCCACACCGCCTTGGAACGTAACCCCTGCAGATTTCGGGGGACTACTGTATACTCTTTTATCTGGTTAAATACACCTTTTTATAATATATTTCACTTGTTTATTTAAAGAGTGACTGCTTCTGCACCAGTCCAGGTTATATTTTAATTGCTCTTATAAAATGATAGCTGTGATTCTTAAGACTTTGATAAAATCCATAGGGACTGTGGCAACTAGAGGCAACACTTAGGGTTTCCCTACAGGACACATTTATTGTGCTTTTGGGATCTCTTATTCATGAAAATTTGTGGGGTCCTTTCATAAGACCTTTGCCCTTCAGACCCTCTTCCATGTTTTCCAGACTTCTTAGCATCATTTTATTTTAAAGTGAGGAAAATCTGCTATAAAATTCTAGATTGTGAAAAACTGGAGAAAAGCCTCACGATAACTCACAAATCCACTGTGTTGCAGCATTGCCACAGCACCAGCTTGTTGTTGGTTGATGTAATATATACAAAGGCAAAGAAATACAAATTCTTGGAAAAAGAAACAATATCAAAGATTTTGCTCCCAAAATCTAAGCAAAGAAGAAACCGTGGTAAAATTGTGGGTTACATCCCTCACACAGAGAAGTGCCTAGCCTGTAGGCTTTCAGTTAACCACAGAGCTTTACAGTTTGACATCATACACTGCTTAGGACTGCAATAGCTGTCAGAATGCCTTTCCCAACCATGATCTACTTGGATGCTATGCTCAATCTCGGGGACCTTCCTCTGACTGCCTACTCTGAGGGAAGAGTTGAAAGTAGCAACAAGGTGGAGAGCTTTGTATGTGGTGGTCCACTGTCTATGGAATAACCACTGTGGCCCAGCTGGCACCAAATTTGTCATTTTTTGAGCACCAGATTAAAATGGCCTCTTGTCCAAGGTCTTTAAGACTTACTGGGTCACTCAGGGACTTGAGGAAGATTACCTATCCCAGGTGCTTTGCAGAGTAATTCTTTCTGGTTGTATCTTTTAGTGGTTTAAAACCTTTTAATGCATTTATTGCATTTTATTGTCTGTTTTATGGATAGTTGTAAACCACCCAGAGAGCTTCAGCTGGGGCAGAATAGTAGTAGTAGTAATTCCTGCTCATTAATTAATTAATTAATAATTGAGCATGCTCATTAAATTATCACAGTTTCCACCATTAGGGTGCTCAAAGAAGCATATAATGAATAAAGAACTCAATAGACTTGCACATTAAAAATGTGGAATGTTATAATTAAGTAAAATACAGAACAGTATCCACTAGCATCAGAAACTCTGTTCTCACTACTGCAAAAGAAGCTTTGAAGCATCACTGGTCACTGTCATGCTATTCAGATTATTTGTCATTCTGACACATTACCCTATCCAGAGCCAATATCCAGAGCCAATCTCAGTAACATTACCCTATCTTGTCTAGTACTTATATAAACATTCATATTAATTTAAACTATACTACCACACACCACAGGCCATTTGGAGCCTGCTTGTTATTACCAAATGACATGTAGTAAGTCTTCTTCTGGTCAATAATCTTGGCATGAAATAGGTGTAATTCAGTCCATCACTTAATGGCATACTCCTTTACATGTCTGCATGCTCCTTTACATGTCTATTCTGAAGAGAGTCCAGTTGAGATCAATGGCACTTACTCCCAAGAACACATGACAGTCTAAATATTACTCTCTTGCCCAAAGCATGAAAATTAAATAGGAAGATCAGTTAGCTCTGAATTCAAGCCAATATGCACCTTTCATCACTTACCTTTGCCAAACACAGTGAAATTATAAATTTATGTTTTCATTTGCAAATACACAAATATGCATGCTCTGCTCACTGAAGAATACGTGAAGAAGATCAGTATTTATTAATGAATTAAGCTAAATAGTTATGAGCTCCTAGCTAAAAATTTAATGAGTTCTCTGGTGTTGCAGGCACCTTGTTTGAGATAATCACAGCACAGAATGAGGTTATATACTGAAACAGTAGGATTCTGGAGTGTAACACTTCAGACTGCAGGACAGAGAGAAAAAGGAATGGGGGGGGGAGAGAGAGAGAGGGAGAGAGAGGGAGAGAGAGAAGGAGGTCCTGACTCCCTTTGACTCTGGCTTCATCTACCATTATATGTGGCCTGCAATAAAGGAAAGCATACACCTGGCTGTGACCCATTTGCCCCTACCTGAACAGCCCTGTACTTTGTACCTTTTCTGGCAAAATTGAGTGAGGATGCTAAAGGACATGCTTTCTTGGCAACAGGAAGCAAGCAAAGATACCAAAAGGTACCTAGTCCTTCCCTAGCAGCGTTGTCCCCTCCTGTAGCATAGGACCATCTAATATCACCCACCCTATGGGAACAAATAGGAAAAAGAGGGAAGGAGCCAACGATGGCACTAGGCACCTGGTCCTGTTCCAGGTGCCTGTCCTCTCCCTCTTTATAAGGTCATCTAACATGGAAAGAAAGTGGAGAGGAGAGCAGAGCAAAATTGGGCAGCTTCTCTGCCTCCCTCACCCCTGTCTTGTAGAAAGGAATCCAGGTGACAGAGATAGGCAGGCAAAAACAATATCAAGCACCTATCCTAGCCTAATTCATCAGGCTAGCAGGAGCAAACCAGAATCAAATGTTTATTCAGATCCTGTCTTGTTCTCAAATCTTGATCTAAACAAGGTTTGTCCAATTTGGACTTAATGGAGAACTGTGATGATGTCAAAATATAAAGCCGAACTGTTTGACCTCCTTGTGCTGCATGCAAAAAAGAAGAGAGGTTAAAGGAAATGCATATGTTTCAGACTCATGCTGGCCTATTCACATATTTCCACACTATATCATGGGCCTAGACAAAGAAGCTACAAATTGGATTAAGTTTTTGTAAAATTTCCTTGCAAAAGGAATGAAAATATTTGTTTTTCGGCGCCAGGCCAAGACCTTTTTATTTAAATGATATTTTAATTGATTGGTGTTTTATTTAATGGTTTTATATTATCACTGAGAAACACCAAATTTTTAATACTATTCTATGCTTTGTTTATTTGTTTTCTTTGTGAGCTGCCCAGAGGCTTCGGTGATGGGTGTGGCATAGAAATATTATAAATAAATAAATAAATAAATATTTCTGGACAGGCAGAAATATCTCTCTAGAATCTAGAGTCTAGATACTGAAAATAACTCACTTTTAAGAGGTGTCAATTTATCATAATACTTACAGTAGGAGATAGCTAC